ACGGTCTGTGCCATGTCACTGCCTGACTTACGCAGTGTCAAAGGCAACACATTTAATATCCTTATTTATGAGTCATACATCAATTCTGACATATGTGAAAAGGATAATTAACATGGAATGGCACATTTTTTAAGGTGAATGAGACAAAAGACACAGCTGTACTGTCTCAGTGAGTTTTAACTCCTGCACCAGGCACACACAGCTGGCTGCAGAGTTTCATGAGTTCTCTGGCTCCCTCAGCAGACCTTCAGCAGGCCAAAGGAATTAAGAGTTTAGCCAAGAGATGATCAGTTTTTGCCAAGGTTTGTTTAGCACTCCGGCTTTCGCCTCCCTGTGTCTAGCCCTGCAAATGACCTCCCTGCAGCACCGGGACCTTGGCAGCCACTGCACCACAGCAAAATCTAGGGGAGGAGGATTACATCCTCACCAGGGGAGGTACAGAGTTGGTAAGAGAGGGTGTATCTAGTGCATGGCTCTGGAGAGAAATGGGGCTTTGAGCCCTGGCCAGCGTTAGAATCCCTGCCTCAGGCAAGATGTACCATCTTCTTGTGGCAAATCCTTAATGGGAGATAGAGCCCATATTGCCCAGATGGTCTGACTTTTATTTCTTTTTGTGTTTACTCTGTTGAAATTACAACAGTGAAAATAGAGGCAACACATTTTTACTAACCCTGACTCCACTGCACTGAGAAGGGCAGCATATCTGTGTCCCATTAGACAAACCAAGGATGTGGGTGCTGGTGCCCATGAAAATGCTTCAACCAGGCTAACAATAAATTACTGTGGTGTAAGCCACTCCTTGGGAGACCCCACAACCAGGGGGTTTGTTCTCCTTTCACGCTTTGAGAGTACAGAAGAGCAGCTGAAAGTGTTAAGTCCAGTCTAAGTCTGGTTTTAAGTCCTTGCTAACCAAGAACCTGAAAAGAATCAGAGTGAGCTGTTTCTTGCTGAAAGTGATCCCCCACCATTTGGGCATTTTGGGTTTCCCTAACAATTCTAGAACTCAGTGAGCTGCATTTGGATTTGCAGGGAGAGGTCACTAAACTAAATCTGGCAGGTACCAGCACCTCTGGTTGTAATTTCAGCCCTCCCCAGGCACACTTGTATGATTTAAGGTCCTAGATTTAATTATTCTTTCATGTAGACGTGACTTACTTAAAACTACGAGTTTTAAGTACTACTCTGGCCTATCCTGGCTAGAGTCAAACTAATATGGCTTTACTGACTACATTAGGACTCTGCCAGGGTGACACAGTGACAGAGTCTGGGGATGTGAGTATATAAAACCAGCATAATTTCTCCAGAAGTAGCTTTTCACTGGTCTCTGTAAGGTCTGACCAAAAAGTTTCCTCCATAACTCTGTATTATTACAATTTTGATGACATGGCACTCTGACATCAGAAATTATCGCATGCAGCTCCATGTGAGAGAACTCAGGACCACCAAAACCTAATTACTGTGGCTTGATCTAACTGAGGATGAAGGTCCAAAACTAAGCATGCTTGAGAAGAAATTTTTGACTCCTGAAATGCATCGAGCAAGTAATTTGGTTTGTGAATACTGTGGTCACTTTTCAGATCTAGGCATGGCATACAGAGCAGTACATAACACTTTTCCTCCTAAACACAAAATGTAAGAAGAGAAATGTGTTGTTAAATGGTTCCTCTACAATCAGGGGGGAAATTGTGACTATTCAGGCCACCAGACATGGCACAGGTGGCCCTGCGTCCCCACAGGAGCTCCCAAGGATATGTTTCCCAACCAATTCTGGCCGTGCCACAGGTTTTCCCTGTATGACAGGAGATCTGGGCAGGTTTAAATTCACAAAATGTTCTAAATTTGCTAGGTGACTAAGAGTGACAGAGAGCAGGTGTATTGTCCCAATATGTCACAATTTTCCCAGAAAAATATGAGTCAGAAATCCAATTTCTGATTTTCAGTGCTCCTTCAAATCACTCCAAGCAGATTTGAGTTGGCTTGCCAGGTTATTAGTTTTTGTTTGGCAACACCTCTTCCTTATGCTAACAAGATCCATACAGGAGTGCCTGGATGTCAAAGGTACGCTCAGAAATTTGCACAGAACAAAGGCAGGAGCTGAGAAGTTTGGCTTTGCCATAAAGTTTTGCAGAGTCTCAGATCTCTTCTGATCTAATCCAGTTTAAATCAACAGTTTTAATTCTGATGCTCTGGATAATATCCTGAGTTTGAGCACATATCCATGGAAGACCCCAAGGAATAGGTATAGGTAATTAAATACATTCCTCGGCTCTGCACAACTTCTGTGAAATACTGAAAAAAGCCACTTGCATACTGGTCACACTTATTATAGAGCACCCACTCAAATAAACATGCTTAGGTAGAAATGAACTAATAACTAGCTCTAATCTCTTTCAAAGGTCACAAGCCTGCTAAAACGTTTTCAATGCATTTTTGAGTATGAGCCTACCGAAAAGCTGTGGATCTCTTGCCTTCTGCTGGGTTCACAGCATGAGGTGCTTTCCCTCCCTGCAGAGCTTCAACTGCAGAAGTTCAGGCCTTCCTAGGGCTTTTTATTTGCAATCTGATGTCTGCAGAATGAGTGTCTTTCACCAGACCATCTGCCTCCTGCTACCTCCCACCCCATCGAGCTCTGCAGAGGGATAGAGTCCAGAAAACACAGGAGCAATAGCAGGGAAAGAACTGAGCTACTTGACTTGTAACTAAGCACAATCCGTTTACAAGTCCAATTAGAAAAGTTATGGTTAATCCCTGCTTGGGAGGGAGGGACAGAGAGAGGCAAGCAGGCAGGCAGAAGCAAAGAAGAAATCTTGTTTAAGAGATAAGAACAACATTATCTAATCCCAGCTGAAGTACTTCCCTTTGTGATTAACAGAAATTCACTCCATTGGGTCCTCCGTGCCCTTAATTTACTCTCCCAAACTAATCTAACTCTCATCTGATGACCTGCATTATTCAAAGGGACTCTTCCAGCAATCAGGGAGTGGGCACAGGTACTTGTCCTCTGAATTTCCTTTCAGACAGCACTTCCACCTCTGACGCTCTCGGAGACCTCTATGAAGGACTGAGACACTCCCTAAACCCCAAAACATTTCCATATGGACCAGTGCCATGCATTTTATGGCCCATTAACACCAGGTAGCTACCTGGGGAGATGACTGAAGAATGAAGAATGGAGTTAATTGGGCCAGGTACACAGGAGGCAGAAGAAAGCTGGCACGTGGTCGCTCATGCCACTCTAGCTGATTATACTGGTAGTAAACCTTGCACTCTGAGACCACATTTGCTTTCCAGGCCCAGGAAAAATATGTGCTTCCTCCTGTGTTCATTAAGGAGGTATGAAGAGTAGTACCCAACCCCTGCAGGAGGAAAAAAGAGCTTTACATGTCTGTGCCATCCTGTACATGCCTTTCTAGAAACTTTCTTCAAGCCCATTTATTTTCTCTTTGATCACCAGAAATTTCTGCCAGAAATGACACATTAAGTATTTGTCATTCAAAAATAAAAAAATAAAAAAGGTCAATGGGTAAAAAGCACACCTCTACACAGAATGATAGTTGTAAAGAACCCAGGAGCAATGTCAGTGCCCTTTGGAAAAAAAATTACATAGGCCAAAGGATGACTGCCAAAAAATACTAATATCTTTTATTAGACAGAGCATGTCTTAACCCCATTTTCCTTAATGCTTTAATACACATTTTACCTCATATGACACTGATGAAAATTTAAAACCACCTCAAAGAGTACAAGGTTGTATAAAAGAAGCAAAGGAGCATTTGGATTTCATCTTCACCAAAGAGGAGGAGACAAACCTTTGTTTGTAAAGGATAGTAAAATGTTAACAGTGTATTATATTTTTTTATTATTATTATTTTATTTTTCAGTCTTCCAAGTATCCTCTCTACATATAGCCATGTAGACCTACCAAATCCATAAAATATTTCATGTTTGTCTTTTTCTACAGATGCAGCACAATTTCAACCTCCAACACAGTATGCATGATTCCTTGTGAGATTTTCAGCAAACAAATTGAAATCAAACTGTCCAAGGACTGAAGTCCTGCAACATGAAACTGCAAAGATTTTTGAAGTCAATATTATATTCATGTGTAAATCAATTCCAGCAAGATTCATCATGCATATTTACCCGTATGCAAAAATTCTTGAACAATCAAACCCCAGATAGGTGGGGTTTTACATAATATTATGAAAATTAAAACAGATTTGATGTTATTCTAGTATCTATCAGCTTTGACTTTACATGGTTCATTTAGTTAAAGAGAGCAGGGATAGAAAAAGCAGAGAATAAAAAATTTGTATGAAAATGGCCCTATTTTAGGAGGAACCTGGTACAACTGGCTTTACACTGCCAACACACTTCCACGCCCCCTCTGGATATAAACCACTTTAAACAAAAAACACAGATATACCATTACAGCTTTTTTTGGTCTGTCTGTAGAAACTGCCACATGTGCAACTGAGAAAAAGTATCTAACCCAGTAATAGCTTTCCTTTTCCAAGAGGAAATATTTGCCTCAGCGTACGCAAGTTTTAGAAATACAGAAATGAGTTCCTAGAGGCTGAGCTATTTTCACTTACCACAAACATCAGACAAGACTATTCACATAAAGTGAAGATTTGGTTCAAAATAAGTAACAATACAAAAATGTGTGATAAGATACAGAAACACAAGCCTTGAGCAGCAGAAGAAAGCACTCTGAAAAACTGTTATCACATAACATATTCACCTCCTTTTTTACATTCAAAGTATATGAAAGTTCCAGTCCAAAATGCATTGTCAGAAAGAGTTGCTCAACTGCTTAAACTTCACATTTAACACACTCACTACCCTTACAAAGTGCCAGTATGGACTTAATCTCATAGACAGCTCAGACTATGGACAAATATTATCACCCAATAGTAATTACCACTTGCCCTCATTTTCTCTCTGTATGTACCAACAAATATCCTTTTTCTGCTTTTCCAGCTGAAGCAGCCAATTACCTGCTGTGCATTGTAAGCTCCTGTCCACATTCCCCAGGAAATGGATAAAGTGCCGTGCAGCACAGTGAGCAGAGACCACTCAGATGCAAAATAATTCTGAACTCACTCAAAGTCTCTCCACTGCATTTGCAGGCTGAGCTACGTCTTAACTGTATTTATTCACTACTGGAAGACTACACTTTACAGTTATAACCTTGGCAAATACTGAGCATTTAAATAATTCTGGTTTTGCTTATCTGCACAAAGGGGTTTTAGTCTTCTAGCACAGCTGTACACAAAAGAATAGAGTGCCATTTCAAACCCAAACCCTGAAGTCACTACTCACCAGCATGTGATTATATATTCAGTAAGCCCGATGAGTTGAAAAGATTTTGTTGCAGGAGACAAAAGTTACAAAAAAGCAGGCAAAGTTAACAAAAATGAAGGGAAACTAGCGTAAATCCTCTCCTCATTCATCTACTCAAATGTTCCTGAAAACTAAAAAGAACCTTAAAGAAAGTGCTCTCAGCAAAGACTACATCCTCTTGTCAGTCAAACCCTGCATAGTTTCAGCTAGGCATCCGTCCAACAAGACATGGAATTATTCTATTTTTGTCTCCCAACGCAAGTGGAAACATTTTTACAGATTTGTGGTGAGGATTTCAATTTTTTGTAGTGGTCAGCTAGTAGAGGAATGTAATTAAAGACACTGATAAATGTAAGACAGTTCAGAAAGGAAGAACTGGATAATCCTGGAGATAAATAACAATTCCATTACAATACAGTCTGATCTAAAAGCATAATAAAAACTTTTAATGAGGTTAAAAATCCAGATGTGATGCACTGGAAGAAAGCTGTATAAACTGTTTTTTTGAAAACAGCATTGTTGTCAGTAGTGGAATAACACCAAATTTTCGTTATATGTAGGCTGATCTTTTTTAATGAAATAATTTCAGGAAAAAATTTTAATTATATTATTCAGAGCACTAAAAATCTGGTTTACCACCCATGTTATGTCTGGTATGTTACTGTTTTTACTCCACACAGGTGTTTCCTTAGAAGTAGTTCATATGTTGCCTATTGCTGTCTTACAAAATAAACCTTCTAAACTTCTGGCTTTGTAAAGTAGGGAAATACTTTGGAAATTATACGTTTCACTTCTGTTGCATTTAATTTTTGTTTTTATTATATCAGTGAGAAAGTATGGTCATTTCCTGCCTACATTCAGTGACACTGAAACTCAGTGTACATCATTACCGATCCACAGAGCTCTTCAGACAAGAGACTTTCCTCACAAGGGAAGCTTTTAGTTCAATTCCTCAAAACAGTGTCGTCATCAAGGAGGCTGAACTTTTGTCCCCGCTGCCTTCTCCTCTCTGTTCCAACTTCCTCATCCACTGCCCCTTTCACACTTACTATTTTGCTCCCATCAATCCTCCTCTGATGTCCTCCATGGCTGCCCTTTTCCATTATGCACTTATAGCCCTTTTCAGTCTTCTTTACAGCTCTGAGTCCCTGTCTCTGGGTCCTGCTCGCTGAGTGAATGCCCTGCCCTGCCTGCCTTAGGGCTTCTCCAGCCACTGCTGCCTGCTGGGTTACCTTCCATGCTACTTCTAAGTATAGAAAGCTCCCTCCTGAATTAGTCCAAGAAGCAAGCTGGTCCTGGCTGTCACCATCCCTCAGGCCAAAGCCTTCATCCACACGCACTAGAAGATACGAGAGAACCACAGCAGTAATTTAGAGGATTGTGAGGAACAAACAGTCCATATCTTAACAGGGAAGAAAAGAAGCAGCTGCTGTCCCCCTGTTCTCCATACCTACATGTTGCTTTTTTGCTCAGATATTTCAAGTTCCCTTACAGTGTGGATGTCCTTGGGGTGGGACATCTCCTACTACATTTTGAATTAGTCCCTGGGATAACAGGATCCAGTCTTTTTACACTGCTGGGCATTATTGCAAAGCAAGCAAGAAATAAGCTCTTCCTTTAACATCTTGCTACTTATTTTCTTCTTCCTCAAATCACAGCTCTTGTGAGATGTTGCTTTCTACTGAATGAACAGACTTGTTCTAAATTTTAGGGATGAAAAAAGGAGGTTTAAAAGACCCCTGTGTAGACAGGCACACATTGTAGATGGGTGCCCACACATTACTAGAATAGACAATGGGCTATTAAAGCTTCAGCAGAACAAGGAACTTGCTTCCCTTGTGAAACATCTCAGGCCCATTACCATGCAGGTTTCTCTAACCAGGAGCATGACATGCTGTCATTCCACTCTTTAATTCTCATGTTTGCTAAGAGTGGGACAAGAAATGTGAAGGAGAGAAGCACAAACTGGAGCTCAGGGATGAAGCAAAAAGGCAAAAGGAGCCCTAATTGCTAAGGTGTAGTTCTGCTTGGGTTACATTTGGGAAGGCAGGATTAGGATAAGGCAGGATTATCTTTATTAGACTTGCCAGCCCTGTTCTTGCTGACATAGGAGTTGAATTTCTCCATTTAATCCTCAGATACAAGGATACCTGGAAATCTTTCATCGGTGACAGGTAGAGAAGACTTTACCTCAGGCAGGGGTACCAAGGAAACCATAAACTTTCTTCAGGCTCATTTTTTCCTCAGACTTTCTGAATAAGCATGGCTTCATCCACTCCTGGGTCCTACAAGCCTGCCCATGTCAGCTCTGGTGCCTACTGATGGACTGTTCCCAGTTCTCTTTTACCACGGAGCCTTTGAATCCAACCCTTAGCTCAAACTCCTGATACCCTCTCCCATAGTAACACTGTGGCTGTTTTTACAGCTTGCTGTTTCCTGGGAAGCCTTTCTCACCAGCCCTCTGTGAGTATGCTGGGCAGAATGACCCAGTCCTTGCACCCAAGGCAGCTCCACCTGCACCTTCTGAGCCTGGTGTGATGAGGGAGAGGAGAGTGCCTTCCAACCTGGAGCAGCACAGAAGTTTTGATTTTTCTTGTGCCTGCCCAAATCTGATGCCAGTTCATCTAAGGGATGAATGGTGCTTTTGAGATGAGCAAAATACTATAATTTAGGGAGTTTGTAATTTACCAGAGGACTTGTGTATTTTGTGCTTAGCACAGCTCCCAAGTAATAAAAGACTTGTGGTAACATAACCTAAACACCAAGGCTCTCAAACCCTGTCTTTCTCAGGGCAGTGAACAGCCTGTCAGCATTTCCACACCTTCTCTCTGCACTGGACAACCCAAACAAACAGCTGACACTGATGTAGATCATTCTTAAACTCCACTACCGCCAGCACCTAATGCTGAATACAATTCCCAATCATTCTGATATCCAAAATGCAGGAAAATCATCAAGACTTTGCATTATTAATGTCTAATTAATATGACGTTTCTTGCTGTCTGGCTAGCAGCCACTATTACACCAGTATGACATTGACTTTTAAAATGGAGATGTTTTATGGCACTGATTGCTTAACTGTCTTGTTCTAAAATTGCCTGGTCTCAAAAATCCATCCATTTTAAAGAGTTTCTGAGGGGAAAAAAACTCTGGATTAAGATTACTGTTTCATTATTGGTCAGAGTCTTAATTTCCTTCCTGTGATACCAGGCTGCTCATCATTTTTGACAACACATTTAATTACTGTTACAACCCCCACAACTTTTTCCTAGGTGCTGTCAAGACTATTTTAATTAAAATAATATCTTTACAGAGGTTAATGAAAACTGGGAAAAAAATTCCAGCAGGAATTTGTCATCTGCCACTCTTCATTAGTGGGTTCATAAGAAACCAAATTCCCACAGTCCCCACAACTCGTGGAGACTTAGTGGGACCAGGAAAACACCCTTGGGTGGCTTCCACAGCTCACCCATTTTGCCATGCAGAACCAGCACCCTTTCCACTGAGTAATTATCAGACAAAGTCCTCGTTATTCTCCTCAGAAATACTAATGACCATGAGGCATATAAAATCTCCTTCATTATGTCAAATGCTACTGTGATAGCACCAAAGACATAACCTGGGATAACCTATACTTTATCAAAGATAAGACAATTTGGTATCAAGAAGTGCATTTCTTCTTACACATTTTAAAACCAACTGAACTATATGAGGGAATCCAATGCTTCCAACTGTAAATGCACTCGGACACGCTCACTACAAATATTTTTTTACTTTTTTAGAGTAGACGAGTGTCCACTTTAAATAAACCCTGCATATAATTAGACAAATGAATATATATTGAACAAAATTTTTCTTTTTTTTAGTTAGAAACCCTCACTTGGCGTTAAACCATAACTCTGCAAACTGCTAATCTAGAAAATTACAGGTTTTCAGTCAAACCAGCTCACTTTGTTTCTGTGTATGGCTATGGTTCACAAACTTCGCAGACATTCACCAAATTGTCTTGAAGTAACACTCATAAGTGTAGAGCTCACTCATTACTAATTCTTTGTCCATTTTAAACACAATTTACATGCTGCTTGTGTATCTTTGTGTGTAGGGGACAGCAGACTCATCAGTCTGACCTTTAGAGTCAGTTGGCTATAACTTCTGGCTCCTCTTCTAGCTCAAATGTTTGTTCTGTGGTCTCACTTTCTATAATAATAATAATAATAATAATGGCCAGTCTTCGCGAGCGAAGATCCGGGGAAGGTCTTTACACCTTCCAGCCTGCGCATTGGATTTTTTAGGTGAGACACAGTGTGCGCGGAACTGAGCCCACCCTTTAATCCTAAGGTTCATCTGCCGGGGCCAAGCGAGCTTGGACGGTGGCAGCGAGGTCCTTAGGACGTAGGTGGGTTGCCTTTAAGGGCTAATGAGCCCCACCTGCCCGGGAGTGGCCCTGACCGGGAATCGAACCCGGGTCTCCGCGGTGATAGCGCCGCGCCTTTACCACTAGACCACCATCACCACTACCATTTATTTGGAAAAATGGTCACCTCCCCAGCTGAGCCAGCTCTGTGCTGTGAACACACTCCCATCGAAGAGAAACTTCAAAGTCTGCACCTCTGCAGGCAGCAGAACTAGCAAAGGCTGTTTTCCTTCAGATTTCCATGCTGTTTATTAAACTTTCTGTTCTCAGTT